TATAATAATATTAATTCATTATTAATAATAATATAATTTGTTACCAAATATTACTGAATTTAAATGACAATAAAATGTGAGAATATATTATTCGTGTGTATTTTAATGTGAAAAAAATCTGTTTATTGTATAACATATAATCGATTGATTTGAAAATAAAGTTTTTATTAATTTAAAAATTTGTATTTTTTATAATCACTTATTTTGATTACCATTTGTATGGTATGTGTTGTCGAGAATATTCCCAATCGTTTTAATATGAAATTAATGTAAACAACGAAATGTTTTTAACCATTTGTTAATGAGTTATAATTATGTTTATTAATAAACACCAAGGACACTTTCATTTCAATGTTTTACTATAATTCATTAGAAATATTGCAAACAATTTGACAATTATTTATTCAATACTTATCTAATGCAAAACTTTTGATAACATTTTCACAATCATTAAAATACTATTAATTTTACTACAAATACATGAAATACATTGGAAACTCACTTTAATTCCCAAATATTAATATTTAATCGATTAAATACTACTTGTATTATACGTGTAATCAATTACCGGTATATTGTGTTCACTCCTCTCTCAATATACATGTATGTTATATAATAAACCCCATTATAACACACTATCGGTTGAGATAAAAGTACAATCGCTATAAAAATAGCCAAAAACTTATCGCAAAATTATTTATACACTTGTAATCGACGGCTAAATTACAGGTAAAATAAGTCATTATATAATTAGACATCAAAACATCAAATGTTTATTAATATTGAATGAATTGTCGAGAAAATAGTTGCAAAAAACTAGTTATTAAAGTGAGAAAAGTTTTGTTGAAAAGTCAATTGACGTCATGTATTGATTGCGTTACGAAATGCAATGCAAATCCCAATACAAACCCCCGAAACACTCAATGCGTTCGCAATGTCTGTGTGTTTAGTATTGCAGTGAATGTGAATCCCATAGAAACCAATGCTTTTGTCTGTTATTTTGCGAATCCATTCAATGTTTTTGTTTTGATTGTGATTAACGTTTTGAGTGTCTATTAATCCAATCGTTTTGTTAATACAGGTATTAATTGACAAATCATTTTGTGTTTACAACTATTGCATTGAGTGTTGATTTTTTGGTGTCAAAAGGTTTGCCGTATTTTTTCATTTGTCATATGTTTTAGCATTAAATCCTATTTTTTGAAATACATTTACATTTTATTTTGTTTATTACATTCAAAATGTCATTCATTTTCTATGGAGAGAGAGGAGAGGACAGAGAGAGAGCAGATGTGATGTATTGATAACTAGTTAGAGAGAGAGAGAGAGCAGATGTGATGTATTGATAACTAGTAAATAAATTAGCAGTTTATTAATTTAATTACACTACTGTTTATGGCAATTGACATGTTATGCCATATCTATGATTACATTCATGGTTTTTATTGCATTTATTAATAATTAAAATTATTACTTAATTTTATTGTAATAATTGGCGTTAGCCAAACTACTGGCCATGGCCATTCTTGCCATATTACAGATGGTTAATATACATAGTTTAAAACACAAATATGCTTCAGTCTCAACTTAAACTGTTCAATAAAACTTTAAACACATATAATTTTTTACTTAACACAACGTTATATGAATCTTACATTTCTAATAATTTATTAGAAATGATAAAGTTTAATGTTAATGAGTAAAATGCCAAAAATTTTATATTTAAAAATTTTTATATTTGTTTTAATTTGCGAAATTAATTATCGTTGTAAGCATAATTGAAATTGATATAAATGATGTTCAGTAATTACTTTATTTACTATAAAAACGTACATAACTGATGTTAAATTTTTTAAATTTTGATATAACTTTTATCTATTGTCAGATTTGGGAAATTCATTTTGATTTCAATTCTACTCATCCATATCTATCTATTGATATTCCATATGATATAATTATTTATCAAATAAAATATTTGATTTTCAAAATTTTACTAATAAAGGTGGTCACTACGGCCATACCCGAAAGCATCTGGACATATGAAATATATCACTCGACTATATATTTGGTGTACTTTCATTTTATAACAATAATTCCTAAGTGCCCGCTATCCCACGAATGGGCATACACATTTCTAGAAATATTTTTAATGAATTATTTTATTATTTCTGTATCCTTTGTATCGTTAAGTCTTATATTAAAAGACTATTTTTTTATTAAATATTAATTAAATTTTTGATTGTGTGCAAAATATTTCAAACCTGTAGTAAATCGTCTTTTGATATATTTATTAATTACTTGTGCGAAGAGTTGTCAGTTTTAATTGATGTGCAAACAGTGGTATATGTGAGACAATTGATGGTAAATGGGGAGGGTGGGGGATTTAGTTTATATCAATGTTTATCCTATTGGTAATGTTAACACTATAGGACTAATGCTGATTTTATGGAAATATTTGTAATCATAAGACTAGGCATAAGATTTAATTGGATAATAATAAGCCTATAAGACCACTAAATAACATAAAGCAAACATTAACAATATTATTCATAATAAATAATTACAATAATATTGTTTTTTGTTTATTATTTGTATAAATTTAACTTATTTTTTTTAAATATTTGATTTTTCAATAAATTATTAGTTTAGAAATATTGAATTTATTTTCGCATCCTTAATTTTGCTTTCCCCCATTATTTTTACCCCTTTGGCTAACCCTAGTAATAATAAAATTCATGACAAATGAATCACACATTTTGTATGCGATTATTATTTATATTTTAATTTGATATTTATATTAAACACGATATCATTGTTTACCGTTAGATAAATCAGTGAAATAAGTGGTGAAATCCGAGCCAAACAACCAGTGCTTCATAAAAATACATTGAAACTCAGCCATTGGATGACTGTCTGAAGAGCTGATCCACATATCATCGACATGTCATACCCTCAATACCCTCCACAGCAGGGATTCCCTCAACAACAGGCCTACGGCCAGCCCTACTCTCAGGGCTACGGAACGCCGTATGAGCAACAGTTTGCCGGACAATATCCGCGTCAGTATTATATTCAGACATTTGTTTGTCGATCACTCAATTGATCTAAACGTATGTTTTTGTCTTTGTTTTCACCACTGGTTTTGGGTGTATAGCCGGTGCCCAACCGCCACCGCCGCCCGGTTTCGCGATGCCCGCCGGCGAACAGCCGCCCAAATACAGTGAACCGTACGTTAATTACAACACTGGCGGCGCCGGCGGTTCCCATAATATGAATGTGCCCACCAATGAGAGCGATGTGAACACTTGGGCCGGTTTTACGGACAAGAATATACGGCGAATGTTTGTCCAAAAGGTTTACTCGATTCTCAGTATTCAGCTGTTCATCACGTTTGGCATAACAGCGGTTGTTGTCCTCACGTATGTGTTATCATCTCTATGTTTAACTGATCCCATAATTTGTAATACATTTATATATATCTCTCTTAGGCCTGCCCTCAAGAATTGGGTTCGGCATAACATTTGGCTCTATTATGTCTCATAGTATGTGTGCTTTTTTGTATTTAAAATGGATTAAACACTTAATCCAATAGATTATTGTCTTAAATGGCAGTATTTTGTTTTAATTGTTAATTGATGTTTATAATTATACCCAATTTGCAAATAGTGTTGTGTTTTTCTCGCTTTACATAACGTTGATGTGTTGCAAAGGGCCCCGACGTAACTACCCGACCAACTTTATACTACTTGGTCTATTTGTAAGCACAGTTTACATTGCTTCGCTATTATTTACTAATTGAATTTTAATGGTAATTTTGACAGACAATTGCGCTGAGTTTTATGGTGGCAATGATTTGCTCATTTCACGACTTGACCAGCGTTTTGATCGCCGCCGGTATTACCGCCGTCTGCTGTACCGCTGTCTCTGTCCTCTCCTTCTGGACTAAAGTATGTATAAGTTTTGAATGCAATTTGTTTTGCATAATTGAAAACTAATTGTTGTCTTAACACACAGTTTGACTTCACTCGGTTCGGGTGGGCGTTAAGTATCGCATGTCTGGGACTGTTTATAATGGGAATCTGTATGATATTCATCAAAGCAAAGATCCTATACATTCTCTACGCCGGCATCGGAACCGTCATCTTTATGCTGGTATGTGTTGTGTTGTGCCGTCATTTGTATGGTTTGACTCATGTTTTGCAATAATAACACTGTTTTGTTTGCATTTGTGGTGCAGTTCTTGGCGTACGACACACAGCTGATCACCGGCGGCAAGAAGTACGAGATCAGTCCCGAAGAGTACGTCATGGCCTCAATCATGCTATACGTCGATATCGTCTATATATTCCTAATGATCCTACAACTGGTCAGCTCTGGAAGAGATTAATCCATCAAAAAACACACGCTTTTGTACGCAAATGCGTTAATTCTATGACATTTTGTTTGTTTCTACCATTTATTCTGTCTATACTTTTTTGCTGTACTTTTGAAATTATTATTATTATTTTTAATACTAATTTATGACATTTTTTCTTACCGTATAATCGATTGTACGTTATATTTAACTCACTTTAATTGGAATTTGAATTTAGCTAATTAAATATTCAATTAAAATTATAAATTAATAACAAAAGGCTGAATTAGAAGCTTATGGTAATGCCTATTGTATTGTATGTTATATAATATTCACATTTATTCGTATTTAAAATATTTGAATAAAATTATTTCATTATTTAAATTGAATTTCTTATCAATTCATTGAGAGGTAAAATATAAATAAGATTTGTAAAACATTTATATCAATAAAAATTGAAACAATAAAACTATAAAACGATCATGATCTGTTGGGGTTACCACTTAACCAGCGTTTTGATAGCCGCCGGCATTTACCCGTCTGATTTACCCGAATCTTTGGATCTATACTTACGGACAAAAGTTTGTCACAGTTTTTGAATGCAATTTATTTGTTATGACTTATGGGCACACTATTAACACCACTGTTTTCGGTTACCTTTGCAGTACTTGATATAAACCTCAATTGTATGCAACCGTGTAGCTAAACCGACTGAACATCACCCCTCCTACTGGTCCCGAAGTACCGATATTTCGGGTATGACATGATATGGTGTATGTATTGACCGCTTTGTATGAATCGAGGGTTAACTATATCTAACTTTGAAGCGGCGGATCCGCCGTCGGCCCGTCCGCACACATATCGCACAATAGTCTGCGCCGTCTATCGTGTCAACAATTAATGACCAATTATGGCCGCAGTTGTATGTATGGCTATAATATGGCTATTATATCCATATCCGCCACTTTATTCTCACACTAGTATTGCCATTCATTTTAACCACGTTTTCATCAATATATTGTAAATTTTATTTGATTTTTAATTAGAATTAATTTTGATAAATTATTATTTTGTGCACTAGGTTAGTTTGGGGATCCAAAGCCACAAATGTCTTCATTTCAAACCAACACTTCCGATAACGACACGAAGGCTGACATCAAAAGAGTGGTAAAGTGTGAGCCCAAGTGTGAGCTTAAGTTTGAGCCTAAGAGTAAACCAAAGTGTGAACCGGTGGTCAGTACCGGCACTTCGCCGGTTGTCCATCAATGCGAGTCGTGTCCCGATCTTCGGCAACAAGTGGTCAAACTTAATGAGGAATTGGTTAAGAAAAACACCGATTATGAGAGTCTGCGGACACAACACGAGGCACTGAAGACAGCGTCCGGAGAACTATGCAAAACGTATGTATTGTTTAATGCAATTAATTTATGTGAACACAATTTGTGTCGGTTTTAGGTTTGATTCGCACAAAGAAAATATGGATCGGGTTTTTGCCGCCTTTAATCCCACCGACGTTGCGGTGACCGCTGTCCGCACTGACCGCCAGTCCACGGATCGGTCGCTCGTCGGCCCGTTGTCTGGCGGCGGATCGGCCGAAACGCTCGGCCCGATCGACAGGTTTGCTCTGTGGGGCCAACTTCGGCGCAGATTCGCTGTCCCGCTGCCGAACCGAGTCATACCGGCGGACATCGCTGACCGGCCAGACGTCGACTGGAAACACAGTAAAACCGTCGTTGAGGTGCCGCACACTGTGAAGCGATTTGGCCACCGATTCGGGCCGCGTATGAAGACTCGAGGCTCGGCAGAGGGTTGGCTCGACTATCAGCGCTCGTCCTTTCGCGACGTCCGACGGCTAAACGGGAAACGCGTTTTTCGGTTCTACTTCTGGAAAGACTACTCTCCCTGTTGTCCCGCGTGTTCGGCAGTGTTGGGCGCCGGCAAGTGCTTCAAAGAGGCCACTATTCGCGACCACTCAAACAAATTGCACCGAATTAGCAACGGATCCGTCGCTAACATCGCTTTTACGATCATTTAATTTGGGTTTTAATAAAGCGTTGCTTTTATTTGAATAATTATTTTTAATTGATTTTGAAACATGAGAATTAAAAATTGAACGGTTTTACAATTATTGAATGTTTGATGTAATTATTAATTCACAAAATATGAACATGCACATTTTAGTGTCATAAATAATAATTAGTAAATATTTTATACTGTAATCGTATGGCATATAATGGGATCAGTTGTTAAGCGCCGATTCACTGAACTTCGGGCAAATAGTGGCCAAACGAGTGATACATAGATTTGTGACAGAATTGGACGGCATATATGGGCGGCCGTAACAAATGGGTGCCATTGGGCGCCGGCGTTGGGTTCTCACCGATCGGTTCCATAATATCGACCCGTTTTTCATGAGTTGACGGTCGCGGAGGTGTACACAACCGGCCGTACGGGTGGTCCGGAATGCCCGGTATGTCCTCCGAAGGCGTAACCATAA